TTTTTTTTTTTTTTTTTTTTTGAGACAGTCTCACTGTGTAGCCCTTGGTGTCGTGGTGTCAACAGCTCACAGCAACCTCAAAGTCTTGGGCTTAAGTGATTGATTCTCTTTCCTCAGCCTCAGCTTCGCAAGTAGCTGGGACACCCCAGCCATTTTTTTGTTGCAGTTGTCATTGTTTAGCTGACCCAGGCTGGGTTCAAACCCACCAGCCTCAGTTTTCATGTGGCCAGTGCCGTAACCACTGTGCACAGAGCCTATAAATCCTTTTATTTCAGAAAATGACACAAGACAAATGTAGAGCTCAAGTGAACACTACAGGTAACCACATTCCATCAAGAAATGTAAGCAACCCCAGAAGTCCCTCTATATGTCCCATTCTACCACAGCCCCCACCAACACATAATCTTGATTTTTATACTAATTGGCTCCTAGACAGTATAATTTTGTACATTTTTTAAAACTTAGTATATCTTAAGTGGCAAGGGAGAATTTAAAGTGCTCATTACTTGAACAAATGGCTTTGTTCTTAGAGCTAGGCCTCGGTCACTGGAACAGCCGCTTCCTAACATAGACCACAGCTGCTATTAGAGAGTTCTTAGATAATTCATCCAGGACCTCCTGAGTCTTAGTGAAGCAATCTGACCTTGTCAGTGTCCTGCAGGCATAGATACTTAGCCTCATGTGTAGTGCTGGGCACAGCCAGAGATTTAGGCTTTTTATTTTGTATAATTACTCTGGCTCTTGCTCAGGCTGAATTCATGGCATCAGGCAGGCAATCTTCGTTTGGTTATCCCAAAGTGCTAGGATTACAGTGTGAGCCAGGAGCCTGGCTCACAGAACCATAAAGGAAAGGCTTTCAAACAAGGACTTGGAGCTCCCAGTGCTAGTACCTGTTGACACTGCTTATACCCTTGTGTCTGGCCCCAGTAGCACTTACTTGAAGTTTGCTTTCGCAAAACCTTCCCTGAGTTGCCTCTCACTCTGGTGCAGACTGAATTATATTCCCTAAAGTTTGGTGGGTTTTTTTTATTTTTTAAGAGAGTCTCACCCTGTACCCCGTTGCTATCAGTAGAGTGCTATAGCATCAGAGCTCACAGCAACCTCTTAACTCCTGGGTTTAGGCGATTCTCTTGTCTCAGCCTCCTGAGTAGCTGGGACTACAGGTATCTGCCACAATGCCCAGCTATCTTGGAGTTGCAGTTTGGCCAGGGCTGGGTTTGAACCCGCCACCCTCAGTATAAGGGGCTAGTACCCCACCCACTGAGCCACAGACTCTGTTCAAAGTTTGGTTTTTTCCTTATTTCATATTTTTTTGTTTTATTTTATAATTTCAGGTTAATTGAGGCTACAAAGAATTACAATGTTTTCATTTGTTAAGTAAAAGTCCCTTTCAAAATTGTGTCCCACCCCCAAGAGGTGTACCATATAACCTAACATTGTGTTCATTAAGTGGGATCACCCTCATCTCCCACCCTCCTCCCCTCTCCCTGCTCCCTTGTTCATCCACCCCCACCTTGAATTGATTTAAGCTTTTCTCTTATGTGGGTATGTATTAGATTGTCTACTGGCTTCATGTTAGAATTGAGTACATTGGATTCTTGCCCAGTCTTGTGATAACTTTAGTAAAAAGAATCTTCCAACTACATCCAGGTTAATGCAAAAGATGTAGTCTCCATCTTTTTTAATGGCTGAATTGTATTCCATGGTACACATATACCAGTTTGTTACTGCATTTCTTGGTTGGTGGACATTTAGATTATTCCCACATTTTGGCAGTTGTAAATTGAGCTGTGATAAACAGTCTAGTGCAAATACCCTTATGACAAAAGGATTTTTTTTTCTGGGTAGATGCTAGGGATTGCAGGATCAAATGGGAAGTCTAATTTGAATTCTTGGAGGATTCTCCATACTTAGATCCAATAAGTGGCATTATTTTGCAGTCCTAGCCCCAAAGTTTTATGTTGAAGCCCTAAGCTAATCTGACTAATTTTAGAGATAGGGCCTTTAAGAAGGTGATTAAGGCTTAAATGAATTTGTAAGAGTAAGGCCCTGTTACAGTAGGATTGTCCTGTAAGAAGAGGAAGAGACACCAGAGATTTCTCTCCTTGCGCAGAAAAGACCATGCAAAGATCCAGCAAGAAGATGGCTGTCTATGTAAGCCAGGAAGGGAGGTCACCCACCAGAAACCAATCCTTTTGGCACCTTTTGATCTTGTGCTTAGAACTTCCAGAGCTGAGAATAAATTTCTGTTTAAGCAACCCAGTCTGGTATTTTGTTATAGCAGCAAATATAAATGAATATACTCAGTGTATCTACCATCCCTTAGGCTAACCTCTAGAAGAACACAGCCGACTGTGTTGCATTGTCTGTTATTAGTCTGAACACCAAGGGCTTATGCATCTCTGGTCCTTGGCCCAAAATAAGGGGTCAGCTGACTGAATAAATGATTAAGTATTAGGAGAAGCTGGCTGTACCTGTTAATCCCCTGGCCACTACTAGGAACAGAATTATTAGATGGTATTGTGTTAAACTCTTCATCTGTGTCCTGTATTCCCATGGAGTTCTGCACTTGAAGCTGAGTCACAGCCTAGTGTTAATATATTAATAAGCAGTCTGTTCCATTTGAGCCTAGTGCCCCTCACCAGCTTGTAGTGGTAGGTCCCTTGGTGGTTTTTTGGTCAGCTTTTTTTCCTTAGCTTTCGATGTAAAAAACCCCTGGTTGGCTACCTGCCAGCTGAATTTAGGTCAAAAGGCTCCAGAGTTAATTGCACTGAATGGGATTGCCAAGCTGAGGCACTATGCTATGGAACAAGTCTGGCAGAGTGGTTGATAGGAGAGATTTGGGAGTTCTATTGCTTAGGTTTAGATTCTAACTCCATGTCTGAGTTAGAATGTCCACCGAACCTTTACCTATCTGGATCTTAGTTTCATCAGCTGTTCGTGGGATAATATGACTTAAAGGTGCATGGTGAGAATTGAATGATGACCCAGGTACTGATACATGAAGTGTTCAAATGTTCGGTTTCCTATTACGGGGCTGGTTGGCTCTTGTCATGGGCCCTGCAACCTTGCCTGGCTGTAACTCCCCTTTATTTCCTACTTGCCCAATTGGGCCTTGAGAGAAGCGATTTGCTTACGTGTGTTCTCCTGAATGTTACCCA